TAAAATAGCTTTAACAGGCTTGTTGTAAAAAAAAAAAAAAAAAAATTCTAGCTCTCTTTCCTCTTAGCTAACATGAGATTTAGCAATTTGGTTGATAAAAGAAATTGTAACTTTATTTAAGTGGCAGCATTGTTTTGTTTGTGTTCAATTCTGGCACCAGGTAAAATTGAACCTTGTGCTACTATTCTCATGCAAGAAGGCTGTGCAGAGGACTTTTTTATGGCTTTCAGGAGAAAGTGTAGTCTTCTCTTATTTCCATACAAAGAAAGTGATTGTGAGATCTGTCTTTGTATATGGTGGAGAGTGGAAGGAAAGAGAATGCATGGTGAAATCAATTCCCAGAAAGATGAATTAGAGGCCATAGGGAATCCATAAACTCAATGCCAAAAGCAGATGCTAAGCTAGGCACAAAACTTCAAGTATCTGACTTTCTTCCCTATCCTTGAACTGTTGCACCTCAGTCTTAGTAAAGTGAGAGAAATCCTTGCAAACCTTGCACAGAAAAGCTGAGGTTCTCTTTTGTATATTTCTTGCAGTTGCCAATTTCATTTTGTTCAGGTTTGTAATCTTTGTTGTATCAGAGCTGGGAATATGTTCATTGTAACCAAGCACATGCTGTGTTGTGATTCAGGTTAGGATGCAACATAAATGTTCCAGAGAGTCCACTCATTGTTCAAACTGTCTTGACATCTGCTGTATTTATTGGAAATTTTGATAGAATTAGGAATCGAAAGGTGGCAAAAGTTCTAGGATAGAGACACCTTTCCGTCTCTCTTTTGAAGGCATTTCTCAAAAGTAGCAGATTTTTTTCCCCTCCCGCCTCCTTCTATGCAGACCTGGGGCTTATGCTCTGGAGGTGATGATAATTCAGAGTGAGGTGGGATGGTTGATATTTATCCTTGCTAGTATTTAGCACATTCTCCATACCATACATAAATGCCTTACAGCATCCATGTATGGAAAGACTAGACAACACTAACACTTGAGTTTTATATTTAAAGGCAGTGTAAGTTCAGCCTTTTTTTTTGGGGGGTGCAAATATAGAGAATTGTTTCTGGGCACGTTTCTGCTACCTGCAGACAGGTGAGTAGTTTGGTTTCCTAGCCTTCAGTTGCCTTTGTTCTGTGTTCCTTTGCTACAGCAATGGGTTCAGTATTCAAATGCGGAACAGGAGCAGGTTCTGAACAAGGAGAAAGGATGTGCTTTTTGCAGAATCAGAATGCAGATGTGTGCTAGATCGCTGCACAAAAAGGTTCATGTTGTGTGTTGCTGAACTTGAAGCTCTGAAAGGGCATAGACATGGCAGGGCAGAGATGGGAAATCCTGGGCACAGGTAACAGGCTTGGCACTGACTAGCTTCAAGTGGCACTGACATGTATGAGCCATGTCAGAAAGAATCTCCATTTCTGTCATGAGAAGATAACTCTATGCTAACTTTGTAATTTTTTTTAAATTCTAAAATAACGTGCAGTAAAACAATATTGTTTATTAATATGAAATGAAGTTTTGTATTGCTTCTTTGCATAGGTTCCTAAAGTTACTCACACTGAGTTCTGTCAAGGACGCACCATGAGGTGGGCACTGGCATGGAGTTTCTATGATGATGTACAAGTACCTGTAAGTAGCTTTATTTTGGTTTGCTTGTGATTGTCTGTGCCTCTTATTTGAGGAAGGGCCTAATGAGCTGTAACTACTGTGAAACAAACTGTTCTTCTTCAGACTGGAACATTGGATGTGCTGGGCTGTATGGACAGTGGGATTTCTTAACTGGCTGCTGGTTTGTTAGCAGTTGTTACATGTGATTCATGAATGACCTATGTTTAGGGAGAAAAAAAGAAGCTTGTGTAGGAACTTCCTGTGGGTTTCAGTGAAAGGGTTGCTTGTAACATACTTCAATAGCAATTTAGTAGTATTAAAAATATGCTAAGTTTGGGGCTAGATTTGAACTTTAAGCTTCCCTCTGAGAGCTTGGTTTTCATTTACCGTATAGATTCTGTTACCAAATAGGTATGAACATGTCTAGCTCAGATTTGCCTACAGGAATGTAAGTGGAGCTTGTTCACCTTAAATAATGTGAGCCAGTTGCTTTTTTGGATCCAGATGTACATATACTGTAAGGTAGGTATAGACAATAACCAACCTTATAGAAGATGCAAGTAAACCTTTGGTGAACTTGGATTAAAATGTAGCTATTAGCACTTGACCTTTATTCCCAAAAGCAGCCACACTTTCTCAGCTCAGAGAGCGCTAATAGTTCGAAGGAACCATTGAAGCTTTTTGCCTGACGTCTGAAGATGAACCCCTCTGTCCATCAGGCTAGCATAAAGTGCATGATCCTGTTAGCTGTTTTTAATCTAAAACTCCTTGGAGTGAAGTGAAACTCAGGCCATATCAATGACTGTTTAGTGGCTTACATTATACTCTTAATCCCCATGTCTTCTGAGTACAAAAGTCATCTCACTAATACTGCATAGCTTTGTAATTTTTTTTTCTTTCTTCTTCTAGTCACCTCCCTCTAAAAGAAGAAAATTAGAAAAACCCCGAAAACCAATTACATTTATGGTCTTGGCTTCTACAGTCAAAGAGTTATCCATCAAAGCTGCAGCTATGGGCTGGGATGCTGTAGAAGCTATTGCTGTGGTTAGAGCCTGGGTAGAGAAGATTCTCACTGATCTGAAGGTACAGTATTAAGTATTATATGTTAAAACAATATCCTACTTGAAAGCATAACTGTGAGAGGATAATACGAAGTTCTGCTGTTTTCTGCAATAGGTTCAGCATAAACGTGTCCCCTGTGGAAAGGATGAAGTTAGTCTGTTTGTGACTGCCATTGAAAACTCCTGGATTCATTTGAGGAGAAAGAAACGAGAGAGAATAAGGCAATTACGAGAACTTCCTCGAGCTTCTGAAGATGTTCTGCAAGCAATGGAAGAGGAAAAAAGCAGCCAGAAGAGTATGAGCAACAATTCAGACTGTGAAAACCCCAAGGCTGAAGACTCTGAAACGGTGTTTATGGCACCTGATGAGGATGTTCACTTGACCACAGGTGACAAGCTAACGGAAGAATCTGCTGCCAAAGAAGAACACAGTGAGCACGTGAAGGAGGAGGAGACAGAAGCAATGCAGGCAGAAACGTCACTTGGCAAAGGTTCCAGTAATGCAAAGGAGGAACCTTGCCCTTCAGAGGAAGCTAGCAATCTGACAGTTGAAAGTCCCAAAGAAACTAGTAGATGTTTTCTCTTTAAGTGTTTAATGAATGTGAAGAAAGAAGGAAATGATGTATTAGTAGAAATGCACTGGGTTGAAGGACAGAACAGAGACTTGATGAACCAGCTGTGCACGTACTTACGGAACCAAATTCTTCGACTGGTTGCTAGTTAGCCCTTTTTCCTACTTTGGTAAAGTAAGTCAGTCCTCAAATTTTGTAAACGATTTTTAATGGATGAAAATTTTCTGTTAGCAAAACCTTTTTTTTCCCCCTTAAAGAATGAGTAAAGTGGAGATTAAAGTCCCCTTTGATATTTTAAATAGCTTTTCCAAAGCTGCAAGGAGTACATGAAGTGTACTTCATTGAACGTGAAGTGATGGGGAAGTAATAGATTTTGTGCTGCAGCTGTAAAACTACATGTTAAAGTGAGACATGTCTATGCTGTGAACATTTCAAATATCAACAGTGCTTATTCTGGTCTTTTTTCTGGTGCAATAGAATTTTATATTGTTGCTAAGTAGAAATCTTTACTGAAATATTTTCTTCAATATTTTTTCAAGACTAATGTAGGAAATGGTTAGTCTGCTAACCAGTGGGAATTGTTTTCTGCAGCGAGGAGTCTTCAGCTAAGGATTTAAGTATGCCTCTCTTCCCTTTAATGCATTTAACCTTTGGTCTACGGAGTGGCAAGATGGATACATCCTCTAAGTGTCAATTCATTAAAATAATCGCTTTAGAAAAACCGTGTGTTGTACTTTTCTGGTGTTTGGGCTTTGAAACATAGAAGAGCCTACTATTAGCATCTGGTTTTGTAAACTTTAACAACAAAATAAGCTCTTTGAGCTGCTCGGTTTAAAGAGGATTTAACTATGTTGACTGTTCCATTAGACCATTCCTTACACTGATGCAGGTATAATTGTCTGAAATGACAGCAGTATTCTTAAAGGATTTTGCTTCCATTTAATCTTAAGAGATTGCTTTAATGACAGGAATGAGAGCATGTGCTCATCTTCATGGGCCAGAAATTTCTTATGCAGGACAAAGATGGGTACAGAAGCTTTAGGCTGTTGTGAAGGAGGACAACTGGAAAGAAGGCTGTTGCTTCCACACCTGACTCCCTGGTCCTTTTTACCACCAGCTGTTTTCCCAGTGTTTCTGGGTCAATGACTTGTTCCTGTGAGAAAAAGAGGCTGTGGGACATGGGTCTTGGGTGCCTCAGAGAGGGTGCGTGTATGTGTTTGAGATTATGAGCACTGGTACTGTTTCACATGAAGTCAGCCTCCCAAGCTGCGATCCATTTCTCTGTAGAGATCAACGGAACATGGAGAGAAAGTTTTTCTGAGAGTGGAGTGTGTATGCGTTACCCAAAATAAAAGATGCACTCCTGATGGGCAGAAGGAAATACTGCATACGTTCATGCTACTGGAACCACTTTGAATGTTCAGCCTGAGTTGTCACGATTTCTGGAAAGATTAGTATGTTTTCTTAAGTTGAAATTAAAAGCAACTTAGAAAAGCATTAATTTCCCCCCTCTATTGTTAACTGTTGTATATCATGCTACTTAGCATTTCTCCTGCAGGTGATGGACAAAGACTTGCATTTTTTGGCTGTTGCAGAATTTTCACAGAACTGCTTCTGATATTCACGTCACTGGGGAGAGATGAAACCAGCCCTACTCTTTTAGAATCTGAAGAGGTTATTTTGACTAGCTGAGCCATTAAAAACGGAAAGAAAGGCTCTTTGTCCTTTGTGCTGTTCCCTGTTTATCATTTCAGTCTGTCTTTCTGCAAGGATGGAGAAGCTCTACAAGGTAAGCCGGTGTGCTTGTGGCATGCTTGTTTTGCTGAAGCAGACTGCATTATGTTGCTTCATTAATTACCTGTCTTTCACCTGTACAACACGAATAACCTACACTCCTGAGTGTTGCTTAAACAAAGCCAGGTACTTTTACAAAGAAAACCAGCAGTCTGTGATTTGGGTGGCTGTTTCAGAAGTTCAAATATTGTTTTGGCATTTTATTTAAAACAAATGCTTTGACAAAGGTGAGTGTGGCACTTGGAAAGCTAATCCTGTGTTGGGAAAGAACAGCAATTAAAAATTGTGATTGGTGTGTAATTGCAGAAGTAGCAATCCCGAAAGGGTTTTAAGTTACACGGGTGTGCAGCCTGACCAGACGTCTCGGGCATGCCGGGGTGCCGTGGGTACCCCATTTGCTGCGGGAACATCCTCCAACACCTCGAGCACGCGGCGGCGACACCGCTCCTGCCCTTTCCTTGCTACCGCTTAGGGCGCGGGTAGCGCGGCCGCCGCCCGGCA